GAGGCGGGTCGTGGACGAGGCCTCTTCTTCCGTGTGACAGGCCCTGAGGCCCACGCTTCGCAGTAAGAGTCGGATCTGCTCGTTCCCGAAGGGGGTGTCTGAGTTGGGGATTTGGCCGGCACACTCGCTTAGGATGTTCCTGATGTCGCTGGGTGCGTGGACGCCAGCAAGCTGCATCCATCTGGCGAGGACTTCGCAAGGTCTGGCGTCGATGCCTCGGACGTGCAACACTGGTCTCAGAAGGGGGATGTAGTGGGGTGCGAGGCATAACCATATGGCACGGGCGATCCAGCTTCCAGGTTCGAGGTGCGGCTGCGCCTCCCGCAGTAGGCCTTCTGCCAACAGTTGCGCGTCGGCTCCGCTGATGGAGCTCCGGTCGATGTTGTTAGGTCGCCTCGCCCTGCCACTAGCCTCTTCATCACTCTGCGTCGCGCCCAGGGCTCGTGCCCCCCCTGTGCCCCGCTGGGGCGGGGAGCCTTGTCCGGCTATTGGCCTCGTCGCCTAGCATGTGTCTGATGTCGACGTGCCATGGCGTTGTCGTGTTCTGATTTCTGCTGTCCGTCTCGGGTGGCGTTCCGGGCCCCCTTCCGTCGCACCCTTGTCGGCCGTTCTCTCGGGTGTTGTCTCGGGCGTGTGCCCTGGCCGCTCGGGCTCTTTCCCCCCTCCCTACCGCTCTTCTGTCGCCCGTCAGTATGCTCTCTTGTATATGACCCAGGGGGCCCAGCCAGTCCATCACCCGTTCCTGCAGTTCTGGGTGGATATATCCTCCCGGGAGCGGGGCTTCGACCTCCCGCCCAGTCAGATGCGCGATGGCTGCTGCGTCCCTGGCGAGGCGAGCGTGGGCGTCCTGGAAGGCTACTATGCCCTGTACGCGCCAGCGCCCTGCTGCGTGTGCTACTGCGTGTGGTGGTACCCCAGCGGCTCTGAAAACTTCTCGCGGCACGCCCCTTCCCCCTTTCTGCGGGCGATTCCCAGATGAAGGGGACGAGGGTTCTACTCCATGTCATGTTGCTCGGCACGGTGTCGTTGGCGACCTGAAATCGAATCTCTAGGATCTCCTGCAGGAGTCGGCTGGCACTGTTTCTTCTTTCAGGCGAGAGCTGCGCGCCGAAGTAAGGCTAACGTTCATCGATGGCCTGGTTGTCTGGCCCCCCCGAGTGTCTCCCGGTTGTCTGCGGGCGACGCGTGGCAACGGTAGCCCCCTCTCGTGCGAGCGGGGTCGGAGCGACATTGCTAATCGCATCGCTGTACCGCAAGGACTGTTCGGTGAGAGGTGGTCAGCTATGAGCCCCCCTTCTCGTCCAGAGTTGGCGATAATGGCTGCGCATGCTACATCGATCGCGGCCGAGTCTACGCTGGGTGCGTCGGACGGGTGTTCGTCAGCTGCGATGTCTATTACGCCTGGGGTTTGGGCCAGGAAGCCCCCTGCTATTTCGGCCCGAAACCACTGGGCGTCCTCCGCGGGGATGTTCCTGCGGCCCATTTGGACCCTTGCCCTCAGGCCATCCGCGTTGATGTCGGCCCCTGCTGGTTCAAGGAAGCGCGCCGGAACTGCAATCCCGGGCAGCTGTGCGAGGCATCCGGGGACCCAGTCCCGTAGCTGACGGTTCCCTGTGGTTTCCAGGATGCGGTCCCGGATTTGCGCCGATGCTTCTAGAGCCCAGTCGCGCGGCGCACCGCAGAGCCTGGTTAGTGCTCCCACAGTGGCTCTGAGCATCGGTTCGTCGCCGAGACTCACAGCTGCCCTGTCTGCCGATCCGTGCCACAAGTCGTTCGGGCTGTCCGTCATGTGGCGCCATGCAGCCAGCAGCTCGGCAACGAGCCAGGAGGGAGTGTAGCTGGTCGTCTCTGGCAGAAGGTTTACCCTGGCCAACTGGAACGAAAGCTGCGGCCCGAGCGCATCGAGGGAGTGTCCCGGGGCCATAAAAGTGTCGGGATAGATTCCGTCGACTGCTAGACACCACGGCGTGGCTAGCCCATGGCACACAACGCACATGGGTTCGCAATGGTCCCGTATGAACCACGAGCCGCAATAGCCGCACCTCGAGGAGGGGCGGGAGGAAATCCCCGAACATTATTCTGTGGGACGTGGTGTTCAGAGGCCAGGGTTCCTCGGGTTCTTCACTGCCTTGTACCATTACCCCTGGCATGCCCGGGGTGTGCGCCCCCGCACCTGGTATGGCTGGCGCGGCCCATCCGAGGGGTCCTGTGCCGCACTGTCCTTCTGATAGGACGTCGTCGCCTGAGTCGATCCAGCTCCCTCTGTCTATGTATGGCCCATATTTTTACCTCGCTATGGTCCGGGAGGTGGACCCTGTTCTGTCGGTGCTCGTGGACGACGTAGCGGCAGATTTTAAATATGTAGTCGAGGTCTGGAGCTATGTCCCGTCTGTCTGGGACGGCGTCGTGTCTCCATCTTGTGGGTGCGAGAATGGCGTTCGGGAGGAGGTCGTCCGTGGCGTCTGCCACGCCGATGTCCGTACAGTGTGCCTGGGGATACTTTTTGGTCGGCGGCCGCGCGACTACGGTCTGGCGGCAACAAGCGTGTCCGGGACGGCGGCACAGGCTAATTGCACACAAGGTGCGACGCACGCGCACTGAGCAAAACGCTCCACATTCGCAGTGACGCACCTAGGCGCCGCCCGGTCCAAAAGAACGAGCGCACAGTGGTGCGGGGGTGCTACGGAACGTCGCCCTTGCGGCGCCAAGCTCCGAGCATCACCCCTGACAAACAACTGGCACCAGCCCGGGGAACCGGGTGCCTGGGGATACGCGAAGCGTCAAGAATTTGCGGGCAAGGGGGCCTTCCTGAGGTTAGAGATTGGGCTCGCGCATGCATGGCAGGCTCGCGCGGGCAGAGTGTGCTGCCTGGGGGCGCGGCCCCAGGATGAGGATGAGAGGAGCACAGAAACCGATATGTTGCCCAGAAGAATCCGCCGACCCCCGCTTGCTGGGGGTGAAAAGGCGTGTGAAACATTTGCCTGTCCCCCTCCCCCTTTCCCTCTCCCCAGGGGTCCCAAATCGCATGAAGGAGGGGGGGACCTTGGGGGGGGAGTAGACGAGCTCCCACGCGCATCCCCGGGGCCTCCGGGGCCTCCAAAGAGCCCCAAGACAGCCCAAGAGGGCCAAAACAGAGTGCCAACACAGCCCAAGAGAGCGTCGAGACGGCCCAGAGTCGCCCCGCGACGGTCCAAGATGACTTCGAGACGGCCCACGAGGCGCCCAAGACGGCCCAAGGGTGCTCCCAGAGGATCGCCGAGAGGGCCCGAAGAGACGAAAACCGTCCCATTCTCTCAGGAAAACGTACACTTTTAGCATACTCGCCACGTTCGTCTTGACAGCGTCAAAGACGGCCCAAGGGCCTCCAAAGATCGCCTCAAGACGGCCAATGAGGCCCCCAAGAGGGCCCTAAGACGGCCCAAGAGGGCCCCAAGACGGCGTTCAAGACGGCCCCAGGGTCCCCCAAGACGGCGAAAGAGAGCCCAAAGAGGGCCTTGTGAGGGGACCAAGAGGGGGAAGACGAACTGACAAGTCGAGCCTTTCCCGCCAGGATGGCCACAAGAGCCCACCAGAAGCCCCCCTTAAAGGCCCCAAGAGGCCTCCAAGAGGCCTGCAAGAGGATCCCAAGAAGCCGCCCAGAGCCCCCAAGATGCCCCTAAGAGCCCCCCAAGAGACCCCTGAGAGGCATCCCAAAAGCCCCTTTGTGCATCCCAGAAGCTCCTGACCCACAACTAAATAATTTCCACGATCGTCGCAAGCTCTCGCTCGTCCTGGGGGTCGGCGGAATGGCGCAAGCCACTTGAATCCGCCCGCCCACCGGGCTGAGGGGCGTGTGGGATTTAGTTACAGAGCTTTAGCCCCCCCTTTTCTCCCCCCCCCCGAGGCCTCCGCCATTCCGCCGCCCGGCTGCGGCAATGTCCTTTTTCGGTTTCCAAAACGGCTCCACGACGGCGTCCAAGACAAGCTCGATCTTGGTATCGTTCTGAAGACGCTGCCAGACGCCTGTGGGTTCCATTTCGGCCCCGTCGGGGCCCCTTCTTGGCCTCCAAGATCCGCTCCCGGAGCCCTCGACAGCGCCTCTTTGGCTCATTCTCGCCGACACGTGGGGATGTTTAAAAAAATAGCAAAAATCATGGTTTTGGCCTGATTTCGGCTTCCCCGGGGCTGTCCATGACGCTGCTTACAGTTGACTTCCGGGCTCGCGTGCGTCATTTTTCATCACTCCCTTTGTTCGCCGTTTTTGGGCGCGCTCCGGGGTCCATTTTGGACGCTGCGGGGCCCATGTTGGGCCGCAAAACGGACCCCAAACCAGGTCAAACCCCGCCCGGTTTTTACTGCAAGACGGACGCGGTTGCGACCCAACGCGGAAGCGCTGTCGCTTGAGCCGTCCTGGGCTTCTCCAAGACTGCCTCGGGGCCTTGTTAGCCTCTTTTTGGGCCCTTTTCGGGTTCCTCTTCGGCCCTTCTTTGCGCCTTGCCGGCCGGATCACCGCCAGGGCAACCGTCGGGGCAACCAACCGCTCGGGCAACCGCCTAGACTAGCAACGGGAAAAGAATCTGGGCAACCGTCGGGACAAGCACCCAGACATCTACCACGGCACGCCACGGGCCAGTCATCTGGTCAGCCATTGGAGAACCCACTCCAAGAGCCACCTTCCCTGCCATCGGATCAATCAACTGCGCAAGCGCGACAAAACCACGAGACTGCCACGCCACCGTATGACACAAGCCCACCACGGGAGCATGCCGCCTTCCCTGCCATCGGATCAGTCGACTGCACAAGCGCACCACAAGCAGCAGCAGCAGCACTAACACCGGCACCATCAGCACCATCGCCAGCAACAGCAGCAGCGGCACCCGCACTGCACCGTACCACCAGCAGGAGCGACAACAGCAACACCAGCAGCAACACCAGCCGCAGCACCACCACCACTAACAGTAGCAAGTACGACAAACCTACTGTCGAACAGCCACTGGGCATGCCTGAGCATAGTAGGCGATAGCATAGGAAGAGAGAACGCGGGACAAAAACAACAAAGCACACGACGTGTATGAATTCCTGCCTATGTTTATCCCGTCATGGAGCCGTCTTCGCCTCGTCCGGCGAGAACTGGAATGGGCGGGCGGTGAACGCGAAGCGTCTTGAATCAACGATTTTGTCCTCTCAGGGCGCTCTGGGGCGGCATCTGAAAAGCCTCTTGGGGCGTCTTGGGGGCCTCCGGGGCGGTTTAAAACGCATCGTGCGTCGCCAAAGACCCCTGGACGGCGTCTTGGGGGTGTCTCGAGACCGTCTGGGGCCGCTGGGGTTGCTGTCTGAGGGCTCCCCGGGACGATTTTAGGCCTCCCAGAGGCGGGCCTGGGCCCCGGCACCCACATTTGCGGTCGAGGTCCCGGCCCCGGGCCCCCGGACCCGGTGCGCCGATATATGTATACACACACATCATCAACAACACAACAAACAAAACAAACAAACAAAACGGGGTCCGGCGAAGAATCCCTAAAGCCATTACCAAGGAATAGCAATGAAAAGCGTATAACTTAAAACGAAAACAACACAAAGAAAGGAGAACCCGAGGAACTGGACTGACCTTGTCCTAACCTCCGAAAGGCCGACCCCCATTAGCAAGGGAAGGATCCTCGCGTGGTGAACAAAACTCGATGGAGTTTTTGGGGCTGTTTTCGGCCTCCGTCAGGGAAGGGGTCCAGACCTCCGGGGAGCCACGTTGCGGCACATCTGCGACGCCGGATGCATGCGGAGGCTCCAGGAGGAAGAGGGCCCTTCGAGAGGCAAAGATCCCAGATGACCCCAGACCCCGGGGCCGAGTTTCGCGCACATGACAAACATGTACACACATGCTATGATTAACCACGTGTGATCCGATGTCACGTGTAGCGGACTGGTGTCCTCCACACTGACGTGGCAGGAGCGCTGCGCGATCTCAAATCTCGAGCCGGTACGCCTTCATAGCATTCCCTCGAAAAACCTTCGCCAAGTCCTCCGCCGTCGCACCAGCACGATCGCAGGCCTCGAGCAGCAGGTTCGCTGTTGTGTCGTATGAGTCGCCCATTGCTTCGTTGACAAACCAGTTGGACTCATACAAGATGCGGTCAAAGCCAAACGCTGCGATAGCTCGGTCCATGTATTCACTCTTATTCGTGACGCCCCATTCTTCCGATGCCCCCATCTTGCAGTATACGTTTGGGCACTTGCCGATGGCATCTATGGCAGGACCCCACGCTTCCATGGCACCGCCCTCGTTGCCGTTATGTGCTAAATGGTCGACGATGAACGTCATGTCTGGAAACTTTGAGACGCACTCTGGTATGCAAGGCGCCATGTAAGGATGCACGCAAAATTCCCAAAGCAGCCCGTGTTTGCCCAACTCAGCAAGTCCCTCCAAGAACCTCGGCTCGATACAGCAGTCTGGCGCCTTGTTTTCAGCCGCTGGGAAAACCATTCTAGCGCCTTTCAGGCCTGTGGGAAGGGCTCCGTCGGCTTCACGCAGCTCGTCCAAAAACTCAGCAACCGCAGCGGCTCCCTTCTGCACAGATATCTGTGCTGACATCGCCACGACGACTGAGTTTGGATCGTCGATCATCTTTAGGACCCATCTGGCTTCTTCCACTGGCGGCCGATTGAAGCACTCAACAAAGACAGCTGCCTTCACCTTGCACGATCCCTTCGCTACTGAAGCCAAGTAGTCCTCCTCAGTCCAATCACGCCTAAAGCTTTCGGTCTCGTCTGGGTGCCATTCGTTCTTCAAGCCACCACTGTAATGGCGGCTGAGGTGGATGTGTGTATCAATAACGTCCGCTGGGAAGTCTGAGCGTGGCCTCATCGAAGCCGACTCACCGGCCATGGGCCGAAAGGGGCTAGCTGCTAGTCGGCGCTTGGCGTCCGACGAACCTTGAGCCAGAACGGCTGCGGATGGCGATTGTGCGGCTGCCGATGATGATGCCATTGATGAGCATGATGGTGGTAATGACGCTGATGATGACGCTGATGATGATGATGATAATGATGATGATGATGATGATGATGATGATGATGATGATGATGATGATGATGATGATGATGATGATGATGATGATGATGATGATGATGATGATGGTGATGATCATGATGATGATGATGATGATGAAGATGATGATGATGATGATGGTGATGGTGATGGTGATGGTGATGATGATGATGCTGGTGATGATGATGATGATGATGACGATGATGATGATGATGATGATGATGATGATGATGATGATGATGATGATGATGGTGATGATGGTGATGATGATGGTGTTGGGAGTTCGGAACGCGCAAGTCATGATGCATATAGACTTCCAGACTAGCGGGCGATACGCGGGGGCGCAACGCCTCCATCACTCCGGGTCCACGCGGACTCCCTCTTGATCAGGGGGGCCCTCCCCCGCCCTGGCGAGCGGAGCGCGCCAGGGGGGCCCAGCGCCGATCCAAGACATTCGCGCAGAACTATGAAGGCTGCTCTTTGTGCCGATTCTTCTTCATCTTCTTCTTCATCTTCTTCGTCTTCTTCTTCGAAGCGGCACCTGAAGTTCCGACCTCTTTCCTAGTAGTCAACTTTTCGTTCCGAAACCGGTTTTGAAAGCCCTGGGGACCCCGAGGCCGAAATTGAGAAAAAACGCCTGATCAAAAAAAATATCCATCGTCGGAAATATGGTGCCCAGCGCCGATCCAGGAAATCCGCGCGGAGCCTTGAAAGTTCATGATTGTCTATCTCTCTCTCTCTCTCTCTCTCTCTCCGTCGAAGCAAGGAGACGGGGACGAGGCATGAGATAACAACAAAAATACTGATACCGCTACTCCCAAGGGCTCTCCGCGGCATAAACATTGTTTCTCGGAGGTCCGCGTGGATGTCTTGGGCTGGCGCTCCCTGGCGCGCGGAGCGCGCCTGGGGCGGCGCTGGAGGCGCCGCCAAGGGGGCCCAGCACCAAATCCGCTGGCCCCCTTGTGGGGCCATCAGGCTGCGGGGATTAGGCTTGCTGCTCCCTGTTCCCTGCTCCAGAAGGTTCAAGTCTTCCACGTGGTAATCCTGCTTTATACATACTTTACATCCTAAACTGTAACTGTCTGCGCGAAGAGGGGGAGCCCCAAACCGGCATTTCACAACGCCCCCTCGGGGGGTCCCAGAATTCCCTGGGGGGCCGCGGGGCACGTAGAATACGTGTGCCTCGGGCCCCCCAGGCTACGATGTAGATTCACAATAATCGCGTCCCCGCCATACTCGCACACCCAAGGCCACGGTCCCCTGTAAATTGTGCAATTGTCGCGCCCCCAAGGCCGCGATCCTTTCTGCAAATTCATAATACTCGCGTCTCCGAGGCCACTGCGCATGCAATTCTACCATCTCCGCGTCCCTCAGGCCACGATCCCTTGTACATTACACCATGGTCGCGCACCCGAGGCCACTATCCTTCATAATTACACGACATTCGCGTCCCCGAGGCCACGATGCCATGCAAAATACACCATAGTCGCGCCCACAAAGCAGCGATCACTTGTAAATTATAATAGATTCGCGTCTCCGTGGCCACTTTCATTTATAAATCATACAACTTACAACATCCGCGTCCCCGAGGCCACGATCCCACGTCAATTACACCATGCTCGCGTCTGGGGGAGGAGGGGGAGGAAACGAAGGAGGAGGGGCGGAAGGAGAGTGGGCTAACACACACTCATGTGGCTCACACTCCGATGCGACGATCACCTGGAAATGATACCATGTTCCCGTCCCCGAGGCCACGATCCTTCGTAAACTACATTATGTTCGCGCCCCCGAGAACACGATCCCTTGCAAATTATGCTATATTTGGGAAGACGAACTCTATGCACCGACGCCTTTCCCGACCCTGCGCTGAAACTCGCACAAGAACGCGGATTATGGTGTATACGGAACAATGGTGTATGCATGTTTCGTTGTTTCCTCGCGACATCGGGGCAAAAAGTATACGCCACACCACCCCGGCGTCGTCCCCGACCCTCAAAAAGCCCTGGGATTGAAAAAACAGCCCGCCACTGGTAATGTATATGTTCCAGTCTCCGAATAGTCGCCTCCCCGAGGCCACGACCCCGCGCACATTGCGCAAATGTTCGCGCCGACGCCGCGAGCCTCTGGTGAGTTACGCGCCGTGCTCGCGCCACCGAGGCAAACGATCCGTAGCGAGAGTCAAGCCATGCCCGCGCCCCTGAAGCGTCCATGCCGCGCGATGGTGCTCAGCGTGGCCTCAGGCAGCCCCCCAATCCCTCAAAGATTGCCAGCCTCGAGCTTATCCCAATCCTTCAGATTGGCGCGCCAAAAGGCGATGACAGTCTTGGGGATGTGCCCTCAAAAAATGAGGGAATCCCTAAGATTGGCATCGTGATGAGGAGATGCCCAGCATAGGGATAGGGATATGCTCCAGGCTGGTAAAAAGAGGGCCTCCAATACACAGCGTGAGGGGAAGTTTCGACAAAAACACAACAGCACAGAGTTCAACACTGGCATCCAGATCTCGATCTGTCTTGACGATTAGCCATCGCCCTCGCGGGAGGGTACGATGCTGCTTCGCGACGGCGCCCAAGCATCCCAACATAACTCCTGCAGTGGGCGAAGCCTTGACGGATGGTCTTCCTGCAATGTGTTGTTCCCCTACCCCCGCTTCAGAGGAGAGGGAGTTTCCGATACCGCTGCTCGTCCTGGAGAGCCCTCGTCGCCACGGCTGGATTCACCTCGGGACCTTTGCCGAAAATATGTATGCAATCTTTACGTTCTTGGGAAAGGGGGCACTCCTGCTCCAGGTCGATGAACAGGCCCACGACGGACGCCGGCAGCAGGTCCAGCACGGTTCGGGTCGGACGACAGGGCGGGGATAGTCGAGGGGTGGCTCGCGAATCAGCAGCTGCTTGCCCCGGCGCCTCCATGCGCCAGAGGCGACGGTGGCGCCGGAGGAAAGCGCCTGGCGGCGGGGCCGAAACCAGCTGCACGCAGCAGAGTTCGGAACCCGCCGTTTTCACCCCCCCTCCCCCCGCCCCTCCACAATTATACGATATGAATACTACTCTCCTCTCTCACAGGATGACGTCCGGAAGATGCTCGGCCCCCCTCCGCGTAAAGTTTGCTTACACACAGGATTCCCGGGAGGTGGGTTTTCGTCTGGCTTTTTTTTCAACATGTTGCTCCCGCTGAAGCGCTGGCCTCATTTGCGGGCTTCCGCTCGTTCCGAATCGTGCTCCCGCTGCAGCGCTGGCCTCATTTCCGCGCTTCCGCTCGTTCCGCATCGTGCTCCCGCTGCAGCGCTGGCGTCATTATTTTCAGCGCCAGGCCAAGGCATGCAATGCAATGCTATGTGGTGTTCCGCTGTGCGATGCCATGCCTTCAGCTGCAGTGCTACGATATGCAGTGCTACGCTTTGATCTTCATGCGACGCCATGCTATGCCATGCTACGCTTTGATCTTCAACGCCATGCTATGCCATGTTCTGTTCTGTGCCGCTGTGCGATGCCATCATTTGCGTTGTAATGCTTTGTGATGAAATTCTTCATTACGCAACGCCACGCCATGCTACGACATACTACGCTCTGCCGTGCTCTTCTACGCCCTGCTATGCCGTGCTCTGCGATGCATGCATGGCGCACCACCTCGGGATCATTGCCCTGCTCGACATCCGACTGTGCGAATAGAGAGGAGATCTACGCCATGGTAAGGGATGGGAAAGAGGAATAGGACGTCAGATATGACGCGAGCGCACCTAGCTTGTCCCTCGCCCTCCCCCTCCTCCTCCTCCTCCTCCTCCTCCTCCTCCTCCTCCTCATCATCAGCAGCAGCATCATCATCATCATCACCACCACCACAATAATCATCATAATCATCATCATCATCATCATCATCATCATCATCATCATCATCATCAGTATCATCATCATCATCATCAGCATCATCATCATCATCATCATCATCATCATCATCATTGTAATCATCATCCTCATTCTCATCCTCATCCCTCATCCCTCCTCCTCCATCCCTTCCCTGATAAATAACTCCTCCATGTCGCACCCCCAGACGTGTCGGTACGGTGGGCCGGGAGTATCGCCTGAGACTACCTCACAAGTTATGATCCTGAAGCTTGAAACTTCCAACAGCTTCAAGGATGGAGAGCGGGAACTTTTCAACATGTTGCTCGCGCCTTAGCGACGCAGACATTCGTCTGGAAAGTTTGTGACAGCTTCACGGACGGAGGGCTAGAGGCTTCAAAATCTCCTTAGCGCCGCGCACATTCTTCTTACAAGCTTGCAACCGTTTTAATGATGTAAGGCGGTTCCTTCGCAAAATGTGGCTCTCGCCTTGCACCGCGAGCATTCGTCTTACAAGTTTGCAGCAGCTTCAAGGATGAAGAGCGGTTCCTTTTCAAAATGTGGCTCTCGCCTTAGCGCCGCGCACACTCGTCTCAGAAGTTTGCGGTAGTTCTGGGGATTTGCATGGTTGAAGTATGAGGAGTGGCGTTCTGGCACGATCTAGGGTTGTCAGGACGCGACGGTCGTTGATTCGCGCTGCTGACGTCCCAGGAATGGTGTTCTGGCACGATCTGGGATTGTCAGGACCACGGTCACTCTGATGCGCGGCGTGGAAGGCCCAGGAATGTGCTTCGGCACGATTGGGGACCCTCAGACGGTTGCCTTCAGGTGGGCCACTTCCCGCATGTTCAAAAAAAATGCCCGTACCTGTGAAAAGGCAACTTGGAGGTCGGGGTTCGCTGCAACATCGTTGATGCGTCTTGGGTTACAGAGGTCCTCCTCCTTCACCGCCACCTCCTCCTCCGTCCCCCCTCGTCGTCCGACCCGAATGGCCATGGCCGCCAAGCCCCCGCGCGGCGCGGCCAGCCCCCCATCCGAGGGGGCGGCCGCCGGCCTCACG